GCTCCAGTTTACAGTGAATCCAGTCAGTGTGGGAAAAGTTTCCATTTATTATCGGATATTAGATAAATAAAATGACTCCTCCTTTAGTCATTTAAAACATTTTTTTTTCGGGTTGCGACATAAATTTAGCCAACTTAGCATGCTAGCATGTGTCGCTAGCTTCCTTCTCCTGAGTTGCAGCAATTTTATGTTGGAGTTTCCTGTCAGGTTTCATTCATTTACATTACTGTGGCAGTTCTTCTTCTTCTTACTATTATTACTGTTATTATTAATAAACAAATGTCATGTGTTTTTAAGTCGGTCTGTAAGTTATCAAACCGCAGTAAGCCATGTGTGTGATAAGATAAGCTTTGTCAGTGCTGCCCAGTTTATCAAGGCTGTCGTGGCGCAGCGTTACGTTTAGAGACACATGCTGGAGAGCTGGGGCTGCACAGTTAGTCATGACAGGCTATATTTACTAGTGACCCATGCTGCAACACTCACACCAGCAGAAAGGTTACTGGAGTTCGTTTCATTCTGCATGAACCAGTGCATTGTTCAGTGCTGGAATGTTATTTTTTAAAACTAAGGCAGATTTTTCCTTTTTCTTTTTTCTGCCTAGAAGCAATATTCTGACTTGTAGGAAAATGTTATGATGCACAGTGTTAAGTTGCAGTTTTGTTGTAACTTTTTTAAAAAAGAATTACCACCAGGAGCTATAATAATACTACAGTTTAAATGGGGAAGTGTGTCTGTTCCGCTCAGATTTTCCTGATTAATTTGCATTCAGAAAGCCAATGACCAGGCCTGTCACAGTAACCAGAGGTCAATTAATCAGACTGACCTTCAATAATTTTCACTTTTCTCTTTCTGACAAAAACTAGACAATGATGCTCTTCACTTTGGTGAATTGGTCTTGACATTTTTTGAAGGATAATTTTATTTAGAGACTACATAATTCATTTTATTTGTTGCTTTATTAATTTTGGATACTTAAAATGTTTTCCAGTTCCTGTGTTAAATATTTATTTGAATTTAAATTAATGCATTATTGTACTATTACCATTGAGAATGCTCTCAAAAAAAACTATTATCATTTATGGCAATAACTTCTGGAACAATTTATCGTTCAGCAAAATGTGTTATTGTGACAGCCCTACCTATGGCATAATTGCTTTTCTTTAATCTCTTTTGGCGAATGCACATGTTGTCTTGGTAAAATTTATGCAGTAAAGTGCGTAAAAGCTGCAGCATATAGTAGGAAAATGACACTATTGGAGTATTGTTCAAAACAGCATAATTGTGAGAAATGTTAATTTTATTCCATCCTGAGGTTGTGAAATGCTTGGTCTTTGCATGTTCAGTCTTGTTTAAATGAGCTCTTAAACATCCAACAGCCTGTTTTTTGAGCCGTGAATCAAAGTTTGGAAAGTAATTGTTTGTTTGTTTGTTTTTGCTGCTGAGAAAAATGTGCAAGTTCAAATTAAAGCTTCTGCAAAGCGTGATTGTGCGAAGTTCACTCCAATGCAGACACGTAGTAGTAACCCGTTGATCCTCCTGTCAAGCTCAGTGTTGGCCTGTAGGACTTTGAGGTCTATAAACATTGATAAGACCTTATCTTTACTCTTTCATTAATGGAGTTAACTGAAGAATGACAGTGACTTTAGCTGTTTGTATTCGTAGCAGAAACTTCACCCTTTTGCCATTAGTCCTCTCACTTGAGGATCCCTACGAGGCACGTAGGAATCCTCCAGTGTTATCAGTCACGGCACAGCCTATTAGTGTCTCTGCATCCTCGCGAAGTGCTGAGGCGGCTTTTAGGAGGTTATAATCGTGTTTTAGGTCTGCAGGGCCAATTAGCTTTGACCATTTGCATGTCTGATGTTGTTCAGGAATAACCCAGAAATAGATGGGGCTCTTTTTTATCTATTTATTTAATAAGTGATAAAATAGTTTAATAGTTTTGGTATCGGTCCGCTTTATCATGGCTTAATACTTTCAGGGTTATTTTCAAACACAGAGGGTTTTTTTGTTTTTGTAAAATACATTTTTTTGACGGACAAACATTGAGGGCTCATTCCCACTGGTCCTTTTTGGTCCACTTTAATTGGACTGCAGTTCAATTAGAAAATCAGATTAGTTTGGAGAGGTGTGAATGGAAATTATTGAGGTTGTTTTAATTTATCATGCAATTAATTGAGTTATTGCTTATTGCAACAGTCCTACCAACAAACCTACATCTCTGTTCAGTTAAAGAAAACTCTGGTGCAGTTTGAAAGCAAATGTGAATGACAATCAGACCAGGAACCGCTCCAAAAGCAGGAAGTGAACTATAGCGCAAGGCATTCTGGGTAAATATAACCAAAACAACCATGACAGCTTAGCTCTCTTCTACAAAAAACAAAAGGGAAATCCTACAACTGCTAAAATTTCACATAACTTTTTTTTTTTTTTTTTTTTTTTTTTTTTTTTTTTTGTGAAGTAGGAAAGTTCAGAGGTTTTGTGTTGCTTTCTTCAGTGGTTCTTGGTGCAGCACCCCCACAGGCCAGGAGGGAAAAAGGTTTTTAAAACATTTGGAATGTTTTGTGGTGTGGTGAGAAGGTGGAAAGCTGAAAAATGTGACAAATGTTGCGATTTTGGTTCCCAAGAACACCCCAAGACATGCCTGATACATGTTGTGGACTTTTGTTTTAAGATTGATTTGTTTTTACACTAATTTGCCGCGTCACACATTCAGTATTTTTATTACAAAACAAAAAGAGGGCCATTTTGTTTTAGACTTTATAGACAAGTCCAGTCCTAGAAAGCTAATATCCTGCAACTTTTACACCCAACTCTACTACATGACCAGGCTTTGTAAAGTTGAATAACCTGTAGATTTAGAGTTCAGACTTTTGATTCAGATTTAAAAGTTGTAAGATCGTAGCTCTTAATGATTGGAGTTGTACTAGAATCACATTTGTCCACCTGATCCACCTGATCCGAATGATTGCATCACCACTTCAGCTACCAAGAGCTCCTACTAATCACCCAATCATTAGTCAGGTGTTGAGCATATGAATTGATATGGATGCAAACTTTTATCACAATATTTTGTGTTAATGTTGATGAAATCCACGATAAGGAGTATTTATTACCTCTTTTTTAGGCTGTTTCTGCATGGAACATCACAGCCCCACAGACAAAAATACTGCTCCTGAAAAATATCTTCATTTGTAATATGCTTTTTAGAAAACTGTCGCATAAAAAATGTGGCATTTATGTCACTAAACTGAGCATGGTAAATGCATTTAATCATATTTTCAAATGTATTGATATTTATTGACACTTTAATTGAACAAACAGTGAAGAAAGTAGTAAAACTATCAATCACAACACTGACACTTTTTAAATAAAAATTCTTATGACAAAAAATCTCAGTAATTGATAAACGATATGATAAACTGCTAAGAAAGCTGGAAAAGTGTAGTTTTTTTAATTGTTGTTTGAATAAAGGGAACAAAGATAAAATTATGAAAATCCAGTCTTTTATATCAAAGTATTTATCTTGTTTGCAAATGTTCAAAATGTGTTAAAACTGCAAAAGATAAGAAAATTAATTCTAGAAAAGTGTAATTTAGATCTGAGAAAATATAGCATATAGTTTTAAAATGACTGTAGCAAAATAGAAGTATGTATTTGTGACATTAGGTGTATAATTACGTCTCTGATCAGTCTTGATTTGTTGCTGTCTGTCTCCTGTTGCCCTGAAACTAAAAACTCTCTGGCTGCTGTTTTTACTCACCGACGATGGAAACGTTTGGCTGTAGTGTAAGTGCAGCCTTAAAATACACGGCCGTGTTCCTTAAGGTGGTTTGGGTTCAGGGCGGTGCACTAATGCAGAGAGTGAGGCAGTGAAACATGAACAGAATTCACTCTCCACTGATCACAATGTATTTTTATCTGCTTCTGGTTGCTGAGCCTCCGGTCGGTTCTGTGACCTTTAACACTTTCCTGCTGCTGTGACGGTTTGTCTCCGCCGGCTTATAAAAACCAGGAGAAAACGTCCAGAGGTTTCTGTCTGACGCTGCTGTCACAAACATGCAACAATGACGTAAATATTTGGCTTTAATTCACAGGGATTTTATTTTTAGTAGTGGAGGGTCTTTATTAACAGTTAATTGTAGGATAATATATAATTACATTTTAAGTAAAAATTATCGACAAAATAAGCTACATTTTTCATTCAAAAACCATTTTTGCTGCTAAATTGTTGTAAAATACACAACAAAATTTTTAATTTGTTATTTAGGTTATTCAGATGAATAATACATTGAAAGCTATTTTTATTTGCTTTAGAAAATTATTTTCAGCTTTCAGTGTAACTTCCTTCACAAAATACTTTAGGAATATGGATTGTGGTTGCTGCCATCAGCATTGGTGATTTCATTGGGCAGCAGGTTCTGCGTTGAGATGTATTTTAGTCTCATTTTTGTAAATTTTGCACACGACAGTAATCTGAATCGGCAGGTCAGGCTTGTTAATTGATTGAACTAATCGACTGGAAAACGGCAGTCGGTGCACCCTGTGATCATAGCTCCACAAATACAAATACTGCTTTGACTGACTGACTTATCTGTTTTGTTTTGCTTAATGCGCCTTATAGCCTGGTGCGCTTTACATATGAAAAAAGATCGGAAGTAGACCATTCATTAGTAATCCTGTGCAGAAAATACAATTGTAAAATGAACAATTCCAACAATACAGACAGTTTTGTGAGGGTTTAAACAATTATTGGAATTTGTCATAACAATAACACATGTATCACAATAAATGATAAACGATACGATAAACCATATCAGAAGCTAATAATTATGTAGGAAATCCACAGAGTGGTTGTTGTACCGTAACAGATCCCTTCAGCTTCCTGGTAGCGCAGAACTCTGTCTGGTTCTGTTAATGTTAATGCAATGTGACATATTCAGGGTGCACATAGCCTGGTAATCAGCACTAATCTGATTCACTGGATTAGAGGATGGGAATCCAAGACTCTGCTTACTGTACATGTGTAGCTGCTGCTGCCTTTCTCAAGGAAACCATCCATAACGATCCTCTTCAGAGGTTATTAATTTGGTTTTTACTCCTCTCCATGATGGCAATGCGTTTATTTTGGTGATTTTTCTCCCTGCTGCTGATGGGTAACGCTTTACTTGGCGCCCACGCAGGTCAGGCAGTTCCTCCGTCAGGTCCTGGGATCTGGCTATATTCTGCTGTCATCATCATAATCTCCCGTTTTTCCTGCTCTGGGATTATCATGGCTATGAAGCAGACCAGCCTGTGACCGTCCGCTGCTCTCTGCAGGCCTCTACTTTCACATTATTTACTTTGGTTTTGAGTTTGGTGGCAAACAAACAGCCAAAATGCTGAACCAGAGCGCTGTGATGATCTTCACTGGGATCTGTGGGGCGATGGTGTTCATGGCCATGGCCTACTATATCTACTGGTAAGTTCAGGTCAATTAGCAGAAATTTTCATTTATTGCATATTTTTAAGGTGGTCTGGGACATCTCGTAATTTATTTATTTATTTTTTCAAATTTTGCTGGATGATAAATTATCTCAATCGTTATCGTGATAAACGATAATATTGTTGTTTTGAGGCCATTTTCAAGTCATGCAGTAGTGATGGCAAAATAATAAAAAACACATTCTCAATTACCAATAACCTTTAAATGCAAATAGATATTTAACACTGGAACTGGAAGACATACTCAAAATAAATAAAACAACAAAAACGATAAGATGAATTATGAAATTTATCTTTCTGAAGAATTTTTGATAGGAAGAGGAAAGCAATAAATTTTGTAAATGGGAATTTAATCAGTTGATTAAATTTTCATGTAAATGTAACGAGGTACATTTACTCAGTTATATTTACTTGAGTAACTATTTTGGAAAAAAAAACCCGGTATTTTGCTATGCTGTACTTTTAAAGTTTAGTAGAGTAATTTCATTATGAAGCATTTCTACTCGAGTACATTTTCTGGGTTTTCTTTCCACTGAATGAAGAGCAAGCATGTTTTAACAAAACTTCAGCAGACACAGACACACACCTGCAGTTTTTGTTAAATTTCTTTTTACAGAAACTGATTAGGGGGGGGAAATCCCTAATTTTGTTACTTTTTTGTCATTTTCACCCTTAAAATTCAGAACTTTCCACTGAACTTTATATTTTGTTCTATCCGATCATGTAATTTTTAAATATTAAATGATAAGTGTCTCACCTTTCCTCTGGCTTGTTTGGTATTTGCGCAGGTTTTCTGGCGGTGAAAGTTGATAGAAATGCAGGTTTTTATTTTTAGTAGCCGTGTTCAGGTGATGTGGAGCAGAGGCAGCTGCCCAGCCTTAAGCAGCTTTAACCCAGTCAGCATTACTTTATCTTTCCTCCAGCCTCTCACAAGGGGGGCCTGTTTTCATTCTGTCCATCCAAGAATATTTTTACACCAAACCACCTGTGAGTGTTTTTGTTTTTTCACCCGTAACTCATCAGCACGTCCAGTACATACTTTAGATCAACATGAGATTATTTTTCTTCTTTTGCTCTTTCCTTTTGGTTTGTCTTTTCTTTGAATTCCTGTAAAGCATTTTGTATTGCCTTGTTGCTGAAAATGTGCTACATAAATATAATTACCTTTTATTAGGCCCAGAAATTGTCCCAGAAATGATATTATTCTGAGACAATGTTCAAGTAAATGGCACAATAATGCAAGCTCTTCCTCTCAAAGACGAATAAGCGCTGGATCTTTTTTCAAAATAAAACAACCAAAAGCAATAAATAAAATGGGAAGGAAAACCACACACAAGCAAAACAATAAATAAAATGGATTATGAAGTCTCAGTAAACAAAATATTAATCATCAGAATGGAAATTATCGAGCCTCATTGATTGATTGCTTATTGTGACGGGTTTAAATGCGTCTACACTTTCAAAACTGCACAGGATGTTGACGTTCCTCATTAGATCTTCTCATCATTCATTCACTCATTTCTCTTTTTAATTAACTGTCAACATCAAAGTAATAATCAGCTCATATGGAAGAAGTAAAGTTAGAATCACATCCAGCTTGTATAAGAAGTTGATCATGAACAATTTTCCCACCAAATACAAAAAAGAAAACTGAGAATCAGAATTAAATATGAAAATCTCAGATAAAACTCTATATATTAAAAGTAAAAATGTACCTCATTGGTGAGAATGTGGAAAATTATAGGCACATCTTGCTCAGATCCTTTGGAAAAGTGATACCATAACACCAATTTGGTGTTAAATAATTCCCTACTGAAAATACTTGGCTACAAGATTCATATGAACATTACATCCGAGTAATTTATCTGAAGAAAATGTACAAAAAAAGGACAGATATTTGGTTAAAATATTACTAGTAGCTGGTAAAATAGACATTATAATGAACTATGGAGGAAAAGACCCCCTGCTGTGAACCAGTTGATGCAGACAGGAAGAAATTCAAATTATGGGGAAATTATCGAAATGGACATCTTGAAAAAAGCGTCACTGACCTTTTGTTTGGATTGCTGCTCCAAACTGCTGGCATTTATCTAATATGTATTTGATTACAAGCAGAAAAATATAATTACCCACACAGCTGCAGTTAGCTGGGGACTGCTGTCATGTTGTGAGGTCTTCCTCAACCAGATTATCTGGTTGTTTTTGTGAAAAAAACCACAACGTTGGAGATCTTCTGCAGAGCGAGAAGAGAAAAGGTTTCTGTTGTGGTAAGAGTGGAGCAGGTTGATATGATAAGCTCTTGTTTAAAATGAACCAGTTTTTCTCCATTCTGTTGACTGATAAGAAAAGAAAGCTGCACTGCAAGCTGTTCAATGTGCATAAATGACATTATTATGCCTAAAGTACATCTTGGTTTTAGTTGAGTAGTTATTTAAGCCACATGTGGAGAGATTTGTTGCAGTTGAGTGTTTTGTAGGTGCTGTGTGTGGCATCACACTGATAGGCTCATAAGGGAGTGGCTGTAGAAAGAGAAATGAGAGCAAAGTTCATGATTTCTTTGGAAATGCCTCATTCTCCATGTCGCAACAGCAAACCGTTTCTGCAGGGCAGCTTGGGATGAAACAGCGACTGACTGTGGACGGTGAGCAGCAATGAAGTAGAAATTTTACTCCTGATTGTAAAAAATCTGATAAAGCCGGACGTTATTTATTAGTTTAAAATTAGAATTTATGTTTCTGACAAATGTGAGAGAGGCTGTAAAATGAATCTGGGATTTTTTGATATTCTAAGCAATGGGTAAAAGTGAGAGTCTGTTCACATGAAGTTAACTTTGGTGTGGTTTCAGTTTTTCTGGAACTAATCGCAAAAAAGGGAACACATTTACAAGGTCTGTGTCAAGTTTTGAATTCATTTATCTTAGTTTTAAGCATTAAAAACTTTTTGTTGTCATGCAAAATCATCTAGTAGTGAAACGATTAATCGAATTAGTCACGATTAATCAATTACTAAAATAATTATCAACTGATTTAGTAATTGATTTGTTAGCTGCTATTTACAGTAAAGTCAAGACGTATATGTATTGCATTTAAGATAAAAAAAAAGTTCTTTGTCTATAAATGCATGTCATCTTTTGCTTCGTCTTGGTTCAAAATTTGTAATAAAACAAAAATAAATCTCTTACTAGGAACTTTTTGACATTCGTGTTCAATAAAGGAATGCTATGTTATTGCATTTTAGGAAATAACATTGGTTTCTTACACTATGAAGTAATTATTTGCATCTTTTAATGCATTTCTAATACAGTATGTGGTTAAATAGGAAATCTTCAATTCTGACCATCCAATTAATCATCAGAATATTTAATTACTAAAATAATCATTGGTTTCATCCCTCAGTTAGACGATATAGTTAGTATTGTTAGTTTTGTCTTTATTTTGCTACAATGTGAGTGGTATACTAATTGGGTCTAACTGATCAGTTTTATTTTATCACACAATATTTGTTTTTGCGAGTCTCTGACTTTTTGTGGTACATTATGGTCGTTGACAATCATTTCACAAAACGTGATTAATTTGTGAATAAAATTGAAATTCCACTTTCATATTCTACAGCTGGTGGTTTTTATTTTTTCCAGATTTCAATTCAGAAATACTTTGATTGTGAATGGAAAATTAATGTTGTAACACATGTCTAAATATATTCAAAACCTCTTTATGGATTGTAATGCTGAGGAAGGAAGGCTCACCAATAGCAGTCAGTCTCGCAACAGATCTAAAGACGCCTCTGACTGAAAGCTCGGCATCCATGAAGCATCATTTTCAATTCGGAGTTCAGATTTTATTTGAGCTTTTGAGATGCTGATCATCTGCTCCCAATTGTAAAAACACTTTCTTGCCATGACTACACACCATAGCAGCTTTGCCATCTTATGAAAAGTACTTTAAGAAATACTGAAACTGGCCTATTTAGATAATAAAATCCAACGTCGGTTCCTATAGTTGGGATGACCAGAGTGTTTATCTATAATGAGGCTCATCTTGAAAATATGGATTTATGATAAGTTGTTGTAAACTTGTTGTGTAACCGATATGAAGCAACAAATACTGATTTAATAACATAATATGTGACTTTCTTTAATTATCAAGCAAGTTTAATGAAGGTTATGGATGCCAAAAATCATGTGGTTCTGAAATGTGTGTAATCTAGATTACATTGAATTGGTGAAATTTACCGAAAACAGTGAATTTTCCAGTGAATAATGCGTTTAAACAGTCATTTTTTAAGCTTGATTGGGATTCAAGGAATTGAGTTGTCTTCCCATTTCTCGCTCTGGTTGTAGGAAATTATTCCCTCACCTTCCTTATGTTAGTATGAGTCTATTAATCACCAGCTCTCTTGGTTTTTAAGATAAAATGTTTTGTAATATGACCGTCACTGTCAGAAAGGTCACGTTTGTAGGATCAAGCTGAGATATTTATGCTTGATTAAACTGATAATGAGCTCTCAGTAAAGGAACCAACACTATGCTGCGTGTCTGAACACTTCTGCATTTACTGGCTTCAGAATTTGACTTAAACTGTAATGAATTTTAATTTAATATGCAGCTTTTTTTTACTCACACAGGGTTGCTTGGTGTTTCTATCCTTTCTGTGTGTATTAATTCAATGCTGCGTGTGTGTGGGATTGATTGCACTGGAAAATACCTCTCCTCTACCTGCAACAGTCTGGCTTCATAACATCCGTTTGGCCTAAATTCAAGCTGCCTCTGTTCCAGGGCTGCGGCTAACAATTGATTTAGTAAACGATTAATCTGTCGATTGTTTTGATGGTTTACTGATTAATGGGATAAAACAAAATTCTACCTTCCACACATTTTTCATTAAAACACTCAGGCCTTTTTTTATACAGTGTTAGAAATGCTTTAAAGTATGCACATGAACAGTTAATCCCTTTTTAAAATGAAAAAAATAATCATTTTATTTTTTTAAATGCAGTAACACAACTTTCCTTTCATAAATCTGAACAAGATGAAACTAAAATATATTTACAGACAAATGTATTTATATTTCAAATGCATCATTTATATTTACATTGTGCAGTTTCTGTATATCTGTTTTGTGTTTTTTTTTTTTTTTTAGACTGCGTACGCCAGTTAGTAATCTGTTTATTACTAAATTAGTTGAGGATTAATTACAATTAATTGTTTCTTCTCGGCTCTGTTCACAGCAACTAGAAATGTAAAATAGAAATGTAAAAGTCTACTTAAGTGTTTAAAAATTGCTGCTGCTGCTTTCCTTTGGTTATAATTACATTAATAGATAATATTTTACTTTACTTAACCCTCAAACTAAATAAATGCATCTCTAGCAAAATGTTATGTTACCAGTTCATAAAAGAGAGCTGAAAACTCGTAATATTTGTTTAACACTTAGGACTGAAACCAGACAGTTGCTGGCTGACTTTACGCATTTGAGGAAGTTGTGACTTGTTGCTCACAATAGAGATACACATTCATTGTGTGACTTGTTAAATACTCAAAACATGTTGCATTTATTTCAAAATATATCCGATTCATTGCGAGCTGCTCATGTGTAGCTGGTATTAAATTTAACTCATGGCAGTGACAGATTTATATCCAAAAAACGTCTGCAGTGGGTTTCTAAGCACTTTGAAACCTTTTTTGTAATCCATTTAGAATATAAGAAGAGGATCTCCTGTAAATAGTGCTTGGGATTTAATTTTTCCCTCTTTAATCTGTGGTAGAATAACCAGAAAAGTGGAGCGTCCCCGAGGAACTGTGGGGTTTCCACAAGATAACAGATTAGAAATGTTGGTCGGAACTGCGTTAAAACGGGCTTAACCTACACTTTAATGGGCTTTGCTGCAGATGTGGGAACAGTCCATTCAGTATTGTGTGTTGTGCAGTCACCTGAGTACATACACAATGATTGTACATTTGACCTACATTGCTTCCTAAAAAAAAAAAATCTTCCCATGCTGCTATTGTGTGTCGGCTGCTTTTCTAAACAAAGGCTTTTTGAATAATTTTACTGTATTTATCGAATATTTATAGTTCAAGTCACTTAATCCTCCAACTGGACGTTATCTGCTTATAAAATGAGTCGTTATTTCTGCCATAATGTCTTATTCTTCACCATCAGAATAACCCAGAATCCATATCATCAAGTAATTGGTTTCTAAAATATGGATTTTTTTGGTGGTTTGAGATGCTACAACAAAAAGAAAATATTAAAATTTTCAGCATAAAACCACATTTTTTTCAGATAAGAATTTGAGGAGCTCAGATCTCTTCACCTCAGAACCAAAGCAGCTTAAATACAAAATAAATAACCTCTGCTTTTATTACAAAAATAAATAACCTCTGCTTTTATTACAAAAATAAATAACCTCTGCTTTTATTAATTACAAAAATAAATAACCTCTGCTTTTATTTATTTTATTTTTTGCTGCAAGTCCCAGTACTGCATTATGCAATTCTCACAGCATAATCCCCAGTAAAACCATCAACTAGACAGTGCATCCTGTTATCTATTAGCTTTTGTGTGAAACAGCTTGTAGCATGCTAACTGGTTTTACAGCAACAACATCTTGATGCAGTTCTATCCAAATGTTTTGAACTAAGGAACAAAGTTGTCAGTTTAAATGTCAGGAGATGTCATTTTATTGGAAGTCCTTTTGTTTAACCAACATAAAATATTTTACTGAAACAAAGTAGAAAAGGATGAAAGTCTTGTCTGTGTTTAACTGTTTTTGCAATAATGGCTGCATTATTACAGCAAATAAACAAACGTCTTTCTTTTTATATCATTTATTTTTAATACTTTTTTTTCATATAAACCTATTTGTGTCTTTAATAAGGTTTACAATGATGAAACAAACTTCACTCTTCAAGTCCTTTTGTCTTGTAGCCCGTTCTGGAAATGAGAAGCCATCTTATACTTTTGTTGTTTTAAATAAGTTAACATAAATATCAGTGTCGCCTTAACGTGTCCTTCATTCTCTGATCTGCTGTCTGTTCACAGGTCCGTGGTTTTGGCTGAAGGGCCGTGTAAACGCGGCTTGTAAAGAAAATCCACCGTGGTAAGAACATTGTTTTTCTGAAAATTGTTACATTTGCTTGAAGTTAGTCAAAGCTAAGGCAGCAACATCTTTAAGTTGACACTATTTTATCAAAGTTTATAATGACGCTGAATCGATTAATTGGCTTAATCGTGATTAATCAGTTTATTAGATTAACCATCAACTAATTTAGCAATCGATTGATCGTTAACTGGAGTATGCAGACAAAAAGGCAATTTACTGAAAGAAGCAGAGCAGTAATTAAGCCAAAACAATACAAAACATCTATAAATTTTGCATTAAAGATAAACGAACCTCACTTTTCTGTAAATTTGTTCTACCCTGAACTCCTCTAGTGGCTGAGTTTTAGCTTCACATTGGTTCAAATACTATTAAATCAAGTATCTTTTGCATCCAATTATTAATTAGTTAACCCAAAAATACCCAAATTATTCCTACAGTGTATTGATAAGTCAAGAAGCTGAGCTTTTCACATGTTGGAGGTATTTTTTACTTGCAGATGCTACAACCGTTCAGGATTGCTATGTTATTGCATTTCACATTAATTTCTTATTGAAAAAACCCAATTAATTTTGCATGTCCATGTCTTTTAATGCATTTCTAGTATTGTATAAAAATACTTAGGTGGAAAATGTGCCGACTGTACCAATGAATTATCTGAATAATTGATTATTAATATATGTGTAAAATGCACCGTTTGGTTCTGTGCTGTGTGCAGGTTGGTCGTGGTGTGTAGAGAGGAGCCCGCTCAGCCCCTCCAGGCTCCTCAGCCATGACTCTCCTGGCCTACCTGAAGAGCCTGTTCATCCTGCAGCTGCTGATGGGCTTCGTGTTTGTGGTGAGCGGCCTCATCATAAACTTCATTCAGCTCTGCACCTGCATCCTCTGGCCCATCGACAGACAGCTCTACCGCAGAATCAACTGCAGGCTCTCCTACTCTCTGTGGAGTCGTGAGTACCTCAAACTCCTGCTGCGTGTCGCGTGACGTTTGTACCCACTGTGATGCACTACAGAGCCTTGTGGAAGCATTAGGCAAAATCCACATTTTTCACATTTTTGTGCATGCATTTGAGTCTAAAGTGCTTCTAAAAGCAGCCAAAGTTCTTAAAAAAAAAACCCACCCAGCTTGTTTTTGGCACTGCAAAAACACAAAATCTTGATATTATTGTCTAGTTTCTAGTGCAGATATCTTTGTTTTGTCTTATTTCAAGTGCACTATCTTACAAGTGACATTTTAGCAGGATACATCATCACCATTAGCTTTATTTTTTCCTCTCCTGCTCTCAGGGAAGGCAGACACTTTTTTCCTCTGCTCCCTCTCTGCCCATGCCTGCCCTGCTTGCTCTGTTTTTGTCCTGTCTTTTTCTATATTTTTGGAGCCTTTCTTTGAACATCCTCCAAATCTATAAATTATGGATGTGGTTAACCGGTCTCTCAATGCAATTGATAACATTTTCTCGACGAGAAGACTGGGCACATGACAGCCCTCTTGTCCTGCTGGGGGACACCCAGCGGGATTCACTCTGGATTTATTCATGATTTTCACTGTTTGGAGCTTGTGGATTCCTGGTTTATTGAGAAATTTGTGGCAGACTTGGCCGAACTAGCAAACACTCAGATTTGTTGGTGTGGACAGAGACGCAAATTGGATGAGAGTCTTGCTGAGACTTGCAGCCCAGGTGAGGACTCCAAATCTCACTAACAGGATGGAATCGATCTGGGAGAAGTTGCTAGTTTCTGTTCAGTGGAACGACCAAACTAAATTGGATAATTGGGAACTGAGACGTATCGTAGAGACTTTAGGGAAGATTGAAATTTATAATCTACCCAATCTGAGACATTCTGTACCTGAACTGGCTTTTCCTGTGTTGCCTTGGAAGGGCTGCATATTTCCAATCTCCTTGAAGATTTGTAAACATAACCCTCCTTCCTACCTCACCCACTCCTGTTATTCAAGCAGCTGAGCGCTCCCAAGGACATTTCTCGATAACATTTTAACGGATTTCTGCCGGGAGGCTGAACAACATGGTTTCATGGCTCTGTGATGTCACCACGTTCACTCATGTCTTTGTTTTGTCTGAATGTTGCCATGTCCCCCAATGAGTCCTTTCCTCTTTTTTATTTTATTTTGTTAGAAACTGTGGAGTACTCACTTTTAACCCAGAAAAAGAATTAGAACAGAGACTCTGTTTGTTTGTTTTTTTTAGTTCATTAGTCACTCTTTAGTTTATTTGTTTAGAAACTGTAGAGTACTCACTATTTATATCAATATTAAATTACTAGGCAGAGAGACTCTTGTTATTGCAACCCAGAAGAGGAATTAGAACGAACTTAGAATCCAGAAAAGATTCTTCCAGAACAGAAACATTTAGTTTTTACTTTGAAACTGTAGAGTACTCATTACTTTAACAAATTTGCTTAGAAATTTACTTATCTAGCATCCCAGAGGTCCAGACTTACTTACACTTATTCAGCAACCCAGAACAGGCATCAGAACCTGGAACCCAGATAAAATACCTTAACTTATTGAAGATAGGAGTCTAACTGCTTCTTAGACTCCTATTCTTTGAAAAGGAATTAGACCAGAGGATTCTTACTTATACTTATCTACCAACCCTGAATATGAGTATATAGTTTATTTACTGTGGATCAACATTATTAGTTTTTTCTTCTTTTGCTGTTTCTTTTGGTTTCTTTTGTTTTTATTTCCTTTTAAATCTTGTAAAGCACTTTGTATTGCCTTGTTGCTGAAAATGTGCTTTATAAATAAAATTACTGTTACCTTTAAAGACACAAACAGGCCCACAGAAAAATAAGCGACCACAGCACGTCTGTTTCTGGGTTTTTATCATATTTGTTGTCTGATGTTCTCCAACAAACCTCTGAGGCCTTCATACAACATCTGGGTGTAAATGCACCCAGTTTGTTTTTAAATTCTCAGTTTTTTTGTTCCAGATGTTGGCAGCAGCTGTTGATGATATTACCTGCTGTACTCTTCCCATCATCTATCAATTTAGATCTGATGTCTTTTTTGGCACACTTTATTGTCTTTGATAGTTTGTCCCTTAATTTTTGTGTATTTATACTGTATAATTATTACAACACGAATTGCCCATTCAGCACTTGAATAAAACTGAACTGAATCTTATACAGAAATAAAATGATCCTATCGGAAGTGAAAAAAGAGGTGGCACCACTTCTACTTTGTTTCTGCTCTATTCATCTTGCACTTTACTTCACAATTACATGTTAATAGTGAGACTCTGTGTCTATAAAGAGAGCAGAGACCAGGCTGGATGCTGAACTTTCACCTACTTCCACAACAGACTGTGTGACTCAGCTGCTAACGCTAACCCTTGACAGATATTTTTGAAACGGCGACCTTAAACAGATTCAGCATTTCCTCCATTTTATCTTGAAGTTTGTTGAGTTCTGTCATTTGTTTTTGTTTATGTTTCAGAGCTGGTGATGATGCTGGAGTGGTGGTCGGGCACAGAATGCACCCTATACACCGACCAGGCTACGGTGGACAAGTTCGGCAAGGAGCATGTCATCATCATCCTCAACCACAACTTTGAAATCGACTTTCTGTGTGGCTGGACCATGTGTGAAAGATACGGGGTCCTAGGGGTCAGTGAAGCTCCAAACTGTGTCTACACACATTGGCAGGAAGCTCAGGTTTTTATTTTGACATCGTTCTAACTGTAAAAGTTCATTTCCTGCCTCTAGAGTTCAAAAGTGCTGGCCAAACACGAGCTACTGAAGGTCCCTCTGATCGGCTGGACCTGGTACTTTCTAGAAATCGTTTTCTGCAAAAGAAAGTGGGAGGAGGACAGAGAAACGGTTTTTGCAGGCTTGGACAGACTCAAAGATTATCCTGAATATATGTGGGTGAGTTCTGCGGTGGCATGCTGAGCTGGGATGGGTTGTTGTTCGTTTTAGATCTGCAGGGTGCGCCATAAGTTTCCATCTTCTAGAAGATGGTTTACATTTCCAAAATAAGTAAACAAAACGATAATTCAAATAAATTACAAAGTTTCTGTAACCTAAACTGATTCAAAACGTAAATCTTTCAACTTAGACAGGGAAAATGGGCAAAAGTGCCAGATAGAAAAAATTAAATCAAATAAAAAATCCAAGTCCAGGCGAAACTATTTGTTTGAATCTTTGCAGTATTTTTCAAAATGGAAGCTTTTCAATCATATCAGTGGGAGTATCTCTTTAAAAATTGCTGTCCAAATGGAGATATCAGGGAGATTCATTACTGGTTTTATTTAAACAAAAACAAACAACGGAAATAAAAATTTTCCACCAGACTTTTTCTTAATACCTCTAAAAACTTGAGAGAACCGACTAAAGTTAACATTGTCCCAATATTTAGAGTTTTTTGCTGTTATGTTTGGGTTTTCAAAGTACAAAACTGCGGTAGAGCTAAATAAAAACACAGAATTAGATTATTTCCTTCAGGCTGTCCGCACATCCTTAAAAAGTCTTAAATACATCTAAAGTTACAGTTTTAAATGGTCTCACTTTGTAAGTTAGCCTTAGCTTAGCATAACATGTGAAGGACTAAAATGATGTTGGACTATTTGGTCTCTTACGTTAGTAGTGTTTTTTTTTCACAGGACTTTTCTGTCAGGTGAAAGTTTAAGTTAGCTGCTGCTAACTAGCTGCTAACATGTCCGTGGTAGCTAACTTTTTCTTAAATCCTTCATTGGAAAATTTATCACCAGTTGGCAGGACAATGTCCGTCTTAGCCTTTGGGTCGCTTCTGCTGCGAATCCCTACGATTTATTTATTTGCGATTTTCTTTTGTACGTTTGTCGTGATGCAGGTCTTAAACCTGTTCCTGTGTCTTTGTGTTCAGCATCCGTCTCTTTCTCAGCATGTTTAAAAGCATCAGTTTTATTTGGACCAGATCAGACGTTATTACCCCGATAAGTCGGGCAGAGTTAAGTTGGTTTGCCCTCCATCTGTCAGCTTTAGTGGTCCTGTGAGGTTGGGTGGTGACATTGTTTTAGCCTCATGTTTCACTGAGGTGCATTTGATCTGTAATTCAACCAAGCAGATTAAATGGGACAAGAGAAAAGAGGACACCCAAACCCTTCACTTTGATGTTTTTGTGTATAAGTTGAGCTTCTGCCTCCACAGTTTCTGCTGTACTGTGAAGGGACCCGCTTCACGGAGAAGAAACACCAAATCAGCATGCAGGTGGCAGAGAATAAGGGCCTCCCCAAGCTCAAGTATCACCTTCTACCCCGAACCAAAGGATTCACCACCACGATGCAATGTCTGAAAGGCACAGGTGCTGTGGCAAACACAGACATCACAAACTGTGATGAAACCCACAGGTTTTTGTTTCTCACTTCGTTTTCCTCTGTTTCATAGTCACTGCAGTGTATGATGTGACGCTGAACTTCAAGGACAATAAGATTCCCACTCTACTGGGCATTGTCAACGGCAAAAAATACAAAGCTGACCTGCACGTAAAGTGAGTTCATTTTATGCTCTCTAGCTTAATAAAACATGAGAAATTGATTTAGTTGTGTCCTTTATCAGCTGGCTGGACTCCAGCCAGCTGATAAAGGGTTCATTATAATGGTTTCATTGGTCTAAATAAGAAACAGACAGGATGAAATCCATTCATAACGACACCAACATCATTGATTATTTAATCTTGATTAGACAGAAATGCATGAATGTGTCTGGTATATGAGGATATCCTTGTTGGGAAAGAAATCAGTTTCTTTATGGGATTTAAATGAATTAGCAGTGCGCCCTCTGGTGGCAGAAAGCAAACACTGCACACCACATGTTTCTCAAAAGTCTGGAACGGTTTTCAGAAACCGTTGCTATTTTTCAGATAGTGCAAAGTGTCAGAGTTACGGTTCTGCAAATTTGGCTGTTGTCACCAATTTTTTACTTTAATCCCTCTGACGGTTGACTTTCTCCCGTCCAGGCGGTTTTCTGTGGAGGATATTCCGGATGATGAACAGGAGTGTGCCAACTGGCTGCACAAGCTCTACCAGGAGAAAGTAGGATGGAACCTAATCGGATCTTTACCTTCGTCATGCATGTTTCAGTAGACATGCGTGTCTTTTTGTGAGTTGAATGCAATGTTTTGTTGTTTTGTGTGTCAGGACGCCTTACAAGAGCAGTACAGCAAGGAAGGAAAGTTCCCTGGACCCACAATCATCCCCCCACGCCGCCCGTGGACGCTGCTCAACTTCCTGTTCTGGGCCACCGTCCTGTTGTCGCCCCTCATCAAATTAGCATGTGGCGTGGTCGTCAGCGGCTCCCCGCTCCTCATCATCGGTTTCATCATCTTACTCCTCGTCGGTAGGTTCAACAGGCGCCGCCTGGACCCGAACGAAAATATAATCCAACTGTGTTCACGTTGACGTCCTGTTTTACCTTTGTTTGTCTTTTGTTTCTCTTTTTGTCCTCTGCCAGCCTCAGTAGCTATTCGCCGTCTCATCGGGGTCACTGAGGTGAAGAAAACAGGCTCCAGTTACGGAGACCCGGAGGCCAAGAAAAAAGAATAAACTGTGTGACCTCCCCGCATCCCCACCGTGTTCGTCTCACTACCCACTCAACTCCATCCTCCTCCTGCTGTCGGCAGGCGGGGAGGAGGCCCACCTGTGAAAACAAAACCAACACTAGAGTCAAAAAGAGAAGAAAATCCTGCCTTCAGCAGAGGAAGAGACGAAGATGAGAGGGTGTGGGAATGATGCTCTCTGGTGTATCACAGATTGTAAGGAGGGAGGGAGATGCAGTACTGTAAAGCCACCAAACTCCCAATTAAGTCCGTTAAACAAGAATCATAAGCCTGAGGTCACTTTCTAAAAGCCACGCCCACTTCCTGTCAGCTGTTGATTCCTTTGAAACTCATGCAGCGCATCCTGATCCACACTGATTAATTTCTGTTATCCAGCGGCAGTGCTTCTTCCCAACACCAGGATCCATCGTTCCCCTGGTTCTGATGGAAATCGGTGCCTTTCGGCCCAGCCTGGCTTTCCTTTATCAGCTCACACAAACCACTCAAAGCCTGTTTCACACAGTGCTCAGATTTCTACAACTAAACCGCAAAATGGCTAAAATTATTGAACTAAAAGCAAAAAAATAGGAAATAATTCAGTGAAAAGACAATTAGAGATCCACCAATCATAACCCAACATCCAACCTCCAGCTAAAGGTTTCCAAAAGTTTGGCAACATTTCAAAACAAATGTTGCTAAAAAATAAAAAAAAATCTCATTTTTGTAAACGACTTATGTTTTCTTCCTTCAGCAGCCACTTCCACACTGAAGAGTGATGTTTCGGTGCATCTCTAATCATCTGCTTCATTGTAATCTATTTCAAGTTAAATTAATTGTTAATTTAGTTGGAAATTCTTTAAAAAAATGAGTTAAATATAAAGTGATAACCCTGACTTTAGTCTCTCAAAAGGGCTGGCATCTGCTGAGCTGCAGCAAGGACTCTGAATGTGAAAACCGAGGAAACCTGCTCTCATTTAAAACACAAATTTCCCATTTTTCCTCCATTTCTCCTACCGGACCTCATTCCACATTTAGGAGTGTTCGTTTTCTCTCCCACATGTAAGGCGGACGACCTCCGACCTCCTACGCGTGCCGTTTCGACCTCCTTCTCCCTTGACACCGAAACGCAGCTCACAGTGGAACATGAATGGCAGAAGATTCAAGGGTCAAAGGTCACCAACTGACCTCATGTAGCCACACAGCTGTTAGCATAGACTGCAGTAGGAGTATTTTTAACCTTTGCCTTAAATCAAGCTTGCTCAGGCAAGGGATTGCTTATTTACCTCCCTTTGAAACGCATAACGCCACTTTTGTTATGTTTTAAATCTTCACCCTTCATTCCTGTCATTACAATAATGCATGGTGGAGTAGGAAGAGTTAATTAGCAAAATGACTGAATCATTTAAACCGTGGACTAATAGGAAGATGTTAATTGAAGGGATTTTTATTTTTGGGAGGGTTTGTTTTGAAGGGGGAAAAATCACTTTAAATGTTCACAGTGGACAAAAAAGGAATTATTTGTTTTGTTTAGGAATAAAAAAAAAATCTGTAAGAGAATATAAATTGCTTTATTTGATTAAATGACTTATAGGAAGTTGTTTTTTGTTGCATCAGACCCACTTTTTTAAATCTGAGCTGTTTTTTATATAGAAAACTCTTTTGTTATCCACTTTAAATAATTTCAGATGATTTCTAGGAAGCTTTTTGGTTGTGTTTGAATAAAAATCACTGTTGAATACATTATAGGAAGATTTTGATTTCTTGAATATAAAATTGCACGCAGGTTTCCACATTTTGAAAGCAAAGTATCATTATTTTTGTCCAGTTCTTTTTTCCGTAGTCGTCAATAAACAGATTTCGTGCAAGCCTTTTTAGCATCAAGGGCCGAAAGAACCACACAATTTAAGAAATAAATGGATCCTAAATCAGCATTTATACATGTGAGCATTTAAATTCATTTGGAATTGTGTGCAAATTAATAAATAGATGGATACATTTGGAATATTCATCTGGAATGTATTTCAATCATTTGTACAATGTAATTCAATGTGAAAAACATTAAATGTAATTTGAATTTCTATTGAAAATATTCTTTGTTAAACATGCAGTTGGTAAATGTTGAAAACATTTCAAATTTTTTACAAAGGCATTCAAATTTCAGTTAGTTTTTCACCAATCTGAAATATTGGATACATAAATTTTTATCTACATTATCACATCTAATGTTTATAGACCGCTGTATTTATTTAATTTAGGCCCTTAATAAATTAGTGCTGCTTGATTATTATTAGTATTTATATTTTAGAAGTTAATTCATGTCAAATTGGAAAATGTAAGACATTTTTATCTGGTAAAGTTGCAGTTTCCTTCGATTCAGATTTTTTTATGCCACTTTTAAGGGTCTTATATTTCTTTCTATTATAGCCAGAACTGATACAAATTTTCCCAACAATTTCTGTCACACTTGAAAAACAAATTCAGGTTTCTGGGGGGAAAAAAAAAGTCTAAAATGTTTGTTTTATTCTGTTCTTTAATTTCTAATTAAAAAATTAAAGCCCAGCTATAAACATTTCACATTTGAAAAACCTCCAGTTCTTCCCGTTAGTTGCACCTCTTGCATCAGTTGTTTGGTTAGTTTTTTGTTTTTTTTCTACAGCTTTGGATTTTGTTTTCTTCCTTTTAAACACTTGAGATTATTAAAGGTTTTAATCACAAAGCAACTCTTACTCCTTGGATTTCTTTGGCTTTGTCTGAGTTTCTCTGCATGAACACGCAGCCATGCAGGTGAAAGGAGCGCATCTTCTCCACCCATCTTCAGTCACATTCATTCACCTTTATTTTTCATGACATCCACAAACTTCACTAAATTAATACGCGACACATTAATATGTAAATAAGCTAAATCTGAACGTCCTTTAGAAACTAGAGCTGTGCGTAGCTGCTTTTATTAGTATTCCTCCCTAAAATCAATGGGTTTTATGTACATAATGTAAATAATTACAATGCTTTGTTTAGAAGTAGTTGGTTTTCCACATTGCACTCTCTGACTGCACCGTTATTTAAGGCTACAACCAAATCTACCACTCGGGGGCAGCAGCAGAAGGCTTACATGAATACCTACAGCAACCAGAGGAGACTGAGGTTAAATTTTGCTCCCACAGCAGTTTTCAGTCCGAGCAGTCATTAATCATTTCTTACTGCACTCCTTTATTTCCTTTTTATTGCATGATGTGCTTTACTGCACAGGCAGCGAATTGAGTTCATTCTGACTCAGGGATTCTTTTACAGACTGACGATGCAACTGCTGTGGCATTAACTCTGAATCTGAATAAAGAGGCTTTCTGGGGAAGATGCCTGTGTGTTTCTTGATGCTTTTGCCACTGTAGTCATCATGCTTTGTGTAACAGAAAAACTTGATTTCTAATGGATTCTTTGGATATCTAAAGGGATTTTATCTAAAATGTTTCTGGTATCTTTTGCCGTTTTATTGATTTCATGTGTTTTGATCACTATTTAAAGCTACAGTACTTTTATACATTGTCTGCTGAAATTGTCACTATGTTGTGACATTATGGCATGAGACTTACTTTGCTAGGCATCATCCAACATCAGAGCCCGCCATGAGTGCTGCAGCTCAAATGGCGTTTTCCCCCAATGACAAGTTCCTAATCTAGCATTAGCATGTTTAGCATTGGATACCTGGGTGATTGACAGCACTAAGGCCCTCCCCCTGACTGATTGGTTGATTTTTGACAGGAGCAGTACATTTATGCAGATGGCAATAATAGTGCAGGCAGGAGGTGGAAGAGGTCTGTCTTTTCTCAGATTATATGTCTCATATCATACTGTAACAACATGGTGACAGTTTTAACAAATATGTAAAAACATTTTATAAACGTTACATACTGACAGGGACGGCTGGTATAAGTATGCTAGTAGAGATAAGCCATATTTTAACATGTTTAAAGTAAACATGTTAAAATACCCAATAAACACAAATTAAAAATAATTTATCACATTTTGTGAAATTTACACCAGAACCACTCCCTGGGTCTTTCCAAAGGGCTATTCTCATTTAATCAGTGCCTTCCGTTTCTCTATGCCCGCCTGCATGCAGAAGAATAATTAAGACGTTTGGCCACGCCTCCTTGGGGATTCAGCCAATGAGGAGCGACGTAAAAGAACGTGGCGAGCGTGCAAGTGTACGTGGGTGCTTGGCTAACGGAAAGTGTAAGTGCTAGCTAACAAATCTCTTAACTGCTTTCGGTGTTTGCTGTTTAGAGGAGTCACAGCTTGTACCCAACAGGGAATTATTTATCTAAAATGTTTATCTGACAAAATAAATAAACAAATAAGCATAAGTCTGATTAGAAACCGTGTGAAGTTATCGCCTGCCAGTTGGATGAGGTCCACCGCATCGCAGTGGAAGAACAACAGGCTTCTGTCATCAAAATAAGGTAGGCCTCATTTGTTCTGTTTTATTTTATGAGTTCGGTTGTGTCAAGAGTCTGATGCAGTCATTAGAGGTGCAGAAAAAAAAATCCCAATTCCCCCTCTGGAGAGTTTTAACTCCAATCAAAATGCTCAAATTGACGTAAGTTTGATAATTTTCTTAAAAATTATAGTTTGAATAATTCTTTGATTTATATATTTGTTTATTTAAGAAAAAGGTAACCTAACACTTGTACATTTAAGTTACTCAATTGCACTTACATATTTTTATTTAGGTAAAATAGAAAGTGTGGTGCACTAAATTTTAGTGACTGGGGAAGCACATGTTTCTCAATAGCCAAAGGTCCAGAAACTCAGCGTTATAGTTTACAACTTCTCCTTCTGTTCTCTGATTGGCCTGGTTAAAAATCTACCAAAAGGAATCCATTTTATGAGCCACAAAATTAAATAAGTAATTACAGAAATGTAATTGGCTTCCAACGAAAAGCTGGTTGGAAAAAAGCTTGGAAGGCAAAGTTTGATCTCCATGTGAAAAGGGAATTAATAATCAAAATTCACATTTTACACTTTTTGGTTCTTCGATTTGTGACTTAGCTAATTCTGAAAACAGCCAAAGTGCTTAATAAACCATCCAACAATTCTTTTTTGGTAAAGGATTAATGTTTTCTGGTGCTTGGAAACAGTTTTAGCTGTTTCTAAAACTTCTGAAATATAATATCAGAAATCAGCTGGCACTATGCCCTTACCGAGCAATACCCGGAAAACCCGGCCCATTATCTAGCAACCCAAACAGAGCTCCAGTATGTTTGGTCAGCTGGATTTACTGCTGTATAATAGCTGCTGGAAAATACAAGTGTTTTGTTGTTGACTGACCATCCAGAAACCACTTCCTGCATCTTTGTTGATTATGCAGGAGGTTCCACTTCTGCTTTTCAAAGATGTGCTGTTATATAATTGTGCATCTGTCAGCAGCCATTTTCACATGCGAGTGTGAAAATGGCTAAAATCTCATAATCTAAGAATGATTTTGTGCAAAAAATGAAATGATCATATTTTCAAGAAAAAAAGACAGCAGAAGAAGAGATCGGCAGGAGATTATTGGAGGACAGTAAGGAGAACAACAGTTCTTGGGGAGAAAGAACTGTTGTTGATAAGCTAATAAAAGCTACCAAGTAAAAGACTGAAGTGGAAAAGAAAGTTCTGGATGAAAAAACAAAGGAGACAGCAGCTTTGAAGACAAGTTGTAAGAGAAAAGATAAAGAACTCGAATAAACGATGACTGATCACAAACAAGAACCAAAAGAACTCAAAAGAGGCAACCAAACGAAGGAAGAAAGGAAACGAAGATACAAAGAAAGTGCTGAAGGCAACAATAGAAAGGATGCAGCTTCAAAGAGAAACTCTGCATTTTCTGAAAACAAACAAGCAAAAGGCAACAAGCCCCTCGACAGACGATCCAAATGGGTTTCAGGATGCTGGAGAAACCAAACTAATGAGCAAAACGTACGCTATCACAAGAATCACTAATATCATGTAGATGAGCAACCCCTTATGTTTATGATATAAATAACCATCAGATAGAATCAATGCAAACGGGATTTATTTTTATTTACTAAACTTAAGCTGAAGAAATGTCTTAAGAACAAAATTTTAAAGAAACATCACAGAAAATAAACAACTGCAGCATAGCGGAGATCATTGGCTAAATGTTATTTATCCATCCATCGCAGCTACATGCAAGTTAATATTAAAATTTAGAGTTTATTTGGAAACTTTTAAAGCTTTCTTAATTTATCATTTAAATATAATCAGTTAACCTTAATAAAATCTGAGGAATGTTTTTACGTTTGACACGTTTCGCTTAAACTGACAAATAATAAGGAAACTTTTAGGAACACAGAATTTACTACATAATTTACAATAAAATAAATAATATGCACAATATATTATTACCTCAAAAATTCATAAAAAGTTAATATAATTTCCAAGAGAGATTAACTGATAGTGGATTCAACTCATGTGAAATTCTTTGTTTCTGGTGTCATAAGTAGGAAGAGTTAAAATAGCAATGAGTAAAAAATTAATTGCTGACATGAAGTTTGAATAAATGTGTCTGAAAAACCCAATCAAAACCCAGATCGACTTAATTGATTGTCATCAGACTCTGAAATGATACACAAACCTATAAATTAGATAAAACTTGAAATGTCAGAAAGGAAGCTTAAGCTTGTTTATATGGATGACCGAATAAACTTTATTAATCCCCAATACCAAAGTGTTCAATAGTATATTTCTATATTTTTAGTTTTTATTCAGGAGTGCAAAGATGCAATTTGAAACTTTTTCAATCAAATTACAGTTGTTAATGTCTGTTTTGATTTTAGCTGTTACTTAAAAGACAGAACCTGAATTTACTGTCTTATGTAAAGGTAATGTGATAATATAAATCTAGAAAAAATAAAACCTTTATTACAGCATATTGCTAAACTATTGAGCTCCAATTTGCTCTCAGTATAAGAAATTCTGAGCTCATAGTTGATGAAAGGATGAATATAGCTAAACACAAGATGTTACAGTGGCTCATACTTACTGTAAATATAACTGAGACCTAAAAATAAATGTTAGTCGCTGCTTAATAAATGGTTATCAGCGACTATTTTGAAGGAAAATGTGCAAAGTGCAGCTGTGACTGCAGTAAAAACAGTAGTAAAACCAAATGAACGCCACAGTTATTAGATTTTTGTTTTCTACTTCACCTTTATGCATCACTTTCTGTTAGTCAGTTAGAAGAAATATTACAGTTTAAGTGGAAAAAGGTGAGAAAATGAGAAACACTTATGCAGATTGGTACATTTCAGGAGGCCCCTGTTCAGTTACACTGTAAAACATTTGAAGTTTAACATTTGTGGTTTAACTTGAAAATCAACTCAAGTCAATAAGAAAATTATTTTTTGTTAGAAATTAAACTTTATGAAGTTGATTTAACAACAAGAGACAAGTTGTCTAAATGTTGTTTTTAAGTTCATTAATCTTGAATTGTGAGTTTTAACTTAATGCTGCAATTTGAACCAAATTTCACAATATATGAGAAATAAACTGCCCTCCCCTTTCTAAAGAGCCACATTTCTCTGATATTTTCAATCACAATCAAGTCAAGTTAAAATAAATATTTTACTTTAGAATAATTTAAATTCTTGTTTCAAATTGCATAAATAAAATTTCTGATCTGATAATGAATTTTATTGTACACAACAATGAATTAGG